TCGGGGAGCATTTGCAGGCGAGACAAGGGAGAGTTGTCCCAGCTCCGGGGCTGTCAGGTTTCCCAGCCCACTGCTGAAAGGAAAGCGTCCCACAGCCATGCACCGTGGGGGCTGGCAGGGCGCCTATGGAAAGCCTGGTTGAGCATCTCTAGCCTTGTGCTTTTGCAGAGTGTTACACGGGGCGATGGGATAAATGGGAGCCCTCCGACATCCCTAAGCAGCAGCGGCACGGTGCAGAGGGCACCCCAGGCTCTGACAGCCCACAGAGCTGGACAGGAGACAGGCAAGAGGGCCAGAGCAAAGAGGTCAAACACTCCGGCCAAGGCCACACAGCGGGACCATGGCTGTGCCAGGACTGGGATTCAAGTCTCATGATTCCCCGTCTCATGACTTCGCAGCTTCTCCAGAGCAGCCTGCTCTTGTTTCTCCTGCATCCCAGATCTGACGACAGCTGAGCTTTCTCCTCCGCCTCCTCTCCCACTCCCCCACTCGCTGCTGCGAGCGGCGGCCGGGGGCTGATGCCTCTGTGGATGATGAACTTGAACAGAAATTTCTGCAGTGCGAGAAGGGCTACGCCCAGGATTTTGGATACGAGGAAGAGCCGTATCCAGCCTCTGCTGGGGACAGGCCCACCTTTATTTAGGGAGGACCATTCCTTCAGCCATCTCTGCCACTCCTCCCACCTCGCAGTGCCTTGCTAAGGAGCTCGAGCATCACCAAACCTTATTGATTTATTACGGTTGCCCCACCCCAGACCTATCTCTGGTTTAAGGATGCTATTAAGCCAAAGATGCCTTTGCTAATGCCCAAAATATGTTGTGTGGGCTCAGTCTTGACTATTCTTGGGTAATGAGGCAAGAATTTCTTTTGCCTTTGCTCATCATGCCCTGTCGTACCTCTGAGCCCCCTTCCCTCTGCATTCGCTCCCAGCACACATACAACGCAGTGCACCTGGCACAGCATCTCAGCATGCATGGCAGCCACTGCTGACACCAGCATGGCATGACACTGCCCATGTCCAAGCACCGATCACACAGGACAGGGCCATTTCCAGCACCGTGAATGCCTTAAACCATGTGAGACCTACACAGATAGGCATCCACACCAAGGAGATCCTCCTGATCCACTGCCCTCCTCCCCAGCATGCCTAAACTATGTTTCCTTCCTCTCCTCCACAACCACCAATGCCCTGCAGAGAACCAGTATGGGGGTCCCGCAAGCACCCCCAGAGCTGCGGGAGCTGGAAACCAGCCTGCAGAGCTGATGGACAGGGAAGGGGATGGCTCAGCATGCCGGGGAGGGGCAGAGCAGCCATTGCTGCCCTGGTAGACACTTTGGAAGGAGCTCTGGTCTCTACAGACTATCAATCACTGGCAAGGGAATGTGCTGTCTGCTGGAAACTGAGGTGCACAGCCCCCTCTCAACAAATCCCATTTGCATTTCCAGGGGCACTTCCTGCACCCCTTGCACCACGCTGCTCTTCTCCCACGATCTGCTGCCCTTGCCCCAGCCTCCCCACTCCAGCGGTGCTGGCCAGAGGTGCTGGCACTGGCCCAGCCCACGAGGGCATCTCGGCTGGCAGCAGCACGACCGCAGGGAAGGAAGGAGCGGAGAAGCAAAGCCAGGCTCCTTGCACAGCTGCCGGTCCTTTCTCTTCCTCTAGTTTTCTATTTCTAGCCCCTTGCCTTGCTGGGGCTGCGCTTCCAGGCGCTCCCACAATGCTGGCCGGCCCTGCGCT